CTCCAGCGTACAGCAATCTTGGGCACGGCCAGCATCCTTCGCCGTGTCCTTCAGAATTAAGACGAGTATGAGGTCTGGGATGTGGTTCATCCCCCCTCATATCTCCAATACCGGCAGGTGCCGTGGAAGGATTTATTTTTTATTTATATATATATATATATATATATATGATGCCAAACCTGACAGAGCGACTCCCCAAGCGTATCTTTGTCGATCTGAAGATGACCTCGGCTGACGATTCCCTTTCAGGGTACAAGTTCGTTTCACCATCAAGTTATCCATTCGAGCCTCGAGTTTTCCAGTCAGGCAACCTGAATGGGGGAAAAATAAAACACTTGAAGTCGCATTGCGCCTCGCGAGACATACATCAAAGCTGAATCACAGTCCCATTTTGTAAAGCCGGGCTCGGACGACACACATACCTTCTGAGAGGAGCCAACGATGCTGATTCGTGTCCACGTGAGACAGCATGCGGTAGGAATTCAGTAGCAGACCCACTGCGTTTCACTTCATATTTGGTTGAAGGTGGTAGGAATTTACTTTCAAATCGCTGGAAGGTTCACTCTGGAGAAGATTTGATCGGATTCATTGATTCATCCAAGCACTCAGCGCTGCTCTTGCTGCCGATCACAGCAGTGACTGTTCCTCAACGGTTCAGACAGTACCTTTGCATTTTAAAGTGCGATTCCAGGATGTAGGCATTAATAATGGGAAGACCGTAGAACTCACGGAATAAGTACACAAGTCACACCAATAGGGCTCGAGCGTGTCCTCTTACTACACCATTCAGCGACAGATACAGAGATGTCTTTCAGTATAGAAAAATCCGTTGGAATGAATACGTAACCCCGCCAAAACGATCGTGTTGATTTGCTGATATTGAATGCAGGACGGCAGTCTGTTCGTGAGGAATTGCTTCCACGATCCATGATTCAGCGAAGGTGTTAATGTCGGGAATGAAGTCGCAAAATTGTAGGGCTGAAAGCCAGGATACAAGTCCGGACATTGTCCAAGCTCTGCACTTTCCCGGCAACGAGGCAGGGCAGTCACAAATCCTCGAGGTCTCTTCAGTAACCCATCACCTCCTCATCTACTGTTTTGATGGGAGTCTGGGTCTTACACTAGGACTTGTAGTAGTTGATCCCGGAATTTCACTTTCATGGATTTTTTGCTGCAATTGGTGAAAGGATCAGCAGACGTTGAATGATGAAGTCATACATATTCCCTCTTACATCTCAATTTCTCCTTCAGCGACCGTTCCCCTAATTGCCTAAGTTCCCTTCTGCAGTAAATGCTGCATTTTAGATAAAATTTCAAAATATAAAATAATTCAATGGAACCTGACTGAGAAGCTTCTGGACGGTCATGAAGCCTCAGGCACCTTATCACGACTTTCGGGTTACATTAGGGGGAATGATGGTAGAGTAAGTATGGTAAGAATCGTTTATTCAACACAAAGAAAATTCCCTAAATAAACTGAACAGGGGGCACTCCAATCAGCAATGGATGAAGCCATACCAATAGCAACATTTGCAAAAACTTTCAACAGCCAAAACAAATTAATATGCCAAGTGTCATTTGAAACAGGCATGAGTAAGAACAGTGCATATCACATCCTGGCAATAAGCAAAGAGCAGAATTTTGAGTGCTTGAGTACCATCAAGAACTTGCAAACCTTGACCCATTGACATACATGCAGACAACAGAAAGTTTTCCCACACAATGTTGCCTATGCAAGATACTCATTGGGAGAACAAGCCAAGAAGTTCAAAAGGTCCAACTGAAAGGTGCCATCTGGTGCAAACTTCTTGGAGAAAACAATGTCTTGGGTGACATTTATGCAGTGGTAAGACAGAAAAGTCTTCAAAGTACTAGTCATCACTGATGCAAGCCATGTTAATAATGAACTGGATCAGGCCATCTGATTGCACTGGATATGGAACCCCATATATTTCTTCTGGATGCACTCCACTTGGCTTTGATCATCTCAAAGGCTCAAGTTCTTCTCTCCCAAGCTGCATTCAATCATGATGAAAAAGCAATGTTAATTTTTAAAGGCCTAGTTGACTCACTCAGAACGACCTGCCTGACAATGAAATTAAAAGATGTAAGAAAAAATTGCAAGAGAGGTATTGCAGTAAGGAAATCATACCAGTGGAAGAGGATGAAGTCTCTCCAACCTACAGAGAAGAACATAAGGTGAATGAAAAAATCCTCAAATCTCATTTTTACTGCAGTGCTAGAGCACTTACTGACCCATCTATATTTTTAATAAAGGGAGACCAATATACCAAAGATGATGAATATATTCTTGACCAAAAGGTTCTTTTGAGTCCTGCCACAGTTCTCAAAGGACAGGTGAAAAAGAATAAGGACTTCATTACTCAATCAAAAATTCCAGTTGGATATGAAAGCTGGAACCAGTAAGGTCTTCCGTCATGGTTCCAGCATGGAAATACCTATTAAAGTAGACCTGGTTCCATGATGGTTCCAACCAGGAATACCGATGATGTAGGGTATGGCCAAAAAAATTACAAACAATTTTTCAACCTAAATATCTCACAGTGAAATTATTTTTGTGAAACTTTCAAGTTGCATATACGAGTTGTTAACAACTGATTCTCAAAACGTCATCTGAATTCATTGAACCAAAGCAATACTATCAGAAATTATTGATAAGAAATGAGACATTAAGAATGGACAAGAGCTCCTGCTGATAGTGGAGCGGAGGAAATACGCAACCCCTGTTCCTCTTGGTCATCTAGACAACGTTGCATTCTTCTTCCATTTAAACTCATTCATGAGGCTGATTGTCTCTTGCAGATGGTTTTCACAAGCCTATTCCCAATGAATGAATCAGTTAATATCAATTCAGAGAGATTTCTCAACATTTTCCCTTGGTTTACATCATCCCGAGTCTTGCAGGGTATGAATAAAAAGACCAACAACTTTTGGTAGTTCCTGTTTAGACAACTAGTATACTTCCATCATGGAATGAAGGTGGCAACTTATAAGTAAACCAACGTATGAGGGTCGGTACAAAAGCAATGCCTCTTAAATATTTTCTCTGGACTCATGCATGGAAGACCACTGAAAAATATCCTGCGTGAAGATTCATATTTCCTGTCCTTGCTGCATCAGTTTTGTGGAGAGGCAGCAATGGGAAGTGTCACTGCACCCGTTCAAAGTGTCTGCTGCCCTTGATGCACGTACAAAGCAGGGAGTTGTTATTGAATTACCGACTGCAGAGGGAGTTTGGCTTGCAAACATTAATAGGCAACTGGACGACGTTAATGGGACCTCTACCATTGATGTGAGCACAGTGAGAGGGTGGGCAAACAGAGCCAAGAGTGGAGAAACTGACTTCAAAAACACGTCAAACAGCGGTCGCCTTGCCTCAGCAGTACCACCAGAGAAGATTCTCAGACTGGGTGAGCTGATTCGAAATGATCAGCACATCACCACACAAGAGTTGTGCGAATCTGTAGGAATCGGAAGACTTGCAATCAAGATTATCCACAACCTTGGCTACTCTAACTTGTGTGCTCTGTGGGTGCCTCAAATGTTGGTGGGCATTCACAAACAAAACTGAAAAACCATATGTGCTGAACTGCTCATGCATTTCAAAGCCAAAGGTGAGGCATTTCTCTCATGCATCATATCTGGTGATGAGATGTGGGTGCACCATTATGACCCAACCTACAGCCCAAATTTTGCACCATCTGAGTACCATCTGTTTTGCCCTTGTAATGGTGGGTTATGCGACAGAACTTTTTAGAAGACAATGAAAGAAAAGAAACTTTTACAGAGACAGCATATACGCCCTTCTTGAGCGCTAGAAAGAGTCAGTTGCACATGACAGGGGCTACATGGAAAAATAGCCATGAATACAAAAGGGCTTGGTCTACTTTCCAGCCAAATTTCATCATTTTTGCTTGAATGGTTATGGAGAAAAAAATGAAGAGGTGTCACTTTCGTACTGACCCTTGTAATTCTACATTATAACCATCTACAGGGTGGGCCAAAAAAAACTGCCCCAATTTGAAGTTCAATAGCGGCCATTTCTCTCCCGCAAACCCCCCATAATTATATATCATTCAAAAGAAAATTAAACAAGCTTCTTTTGCTTTTTTAAAAATTTATATTGGCCCAACGGGGCCCAAGTTATGAAGCTTCAAACTTGGGGCGGTTTTCTTTGGCCCACCCTGTATATTTGAAAGACACATACATGTAATTTTGGAGGGAATATTCATGAAAGTAGTTCTTGCTAGGGCATTCAACACCAATTGCTCACATATCCCAGTAACTTCAAAGTTGATCCCTCCTCAAGGCCATACTTTTCTCAGAGATTCAGAATGTCACATTTTTCCATTTTTGGAACACTTCTATTTCTTAAGTGTCTCCTTTTCAGTCTCTTTCACAAGCACCTAAAGTAAGAGAGAAATCACATGGGTTATTTATTGTTTTGGCTATAATATTCTTAAATAATTTTGATGTACAGATGCACAGAATTTTCATTTTTCTCTTAGTCCTACACAAAAAATTCTAGACACCAGGATTCCATCCAATTTCCCCTTCCTCACTAGTGACAAATAGGCTTGGTCATTGTAAATGGCAGAAATTTTAGAAGGGAAACAAGAGCTCTCCTGCTTCATCCTGGTGTAAAGTTTTCCTGAATAGCTAGCAGCTCCCAAAATAGTCATGATCTGTTCTCCAACTGGGAGAATCACAAATTGATTTCCATGCTCTTGCCTAGATATAGATGCAGAACATATGGGACACACTAGGTTCTTCTCAGATTGGAAAAGACTACTTGCATGTGCATTTTTTCCTTCAGTCTGTCCATAGTTGCCTAGCAACTGGATTATTGTAATTCTGAATTCAATGGGTGCATGCAGCCTTTAGCCTGGCTTTCTAGGACAGGGTGTCAGTCATCTACTAAAGTATGTGTTCCCTTCCAGCCCTTACAGCTGACTGATACATGGTTCACAAGCAGAGAGTGTGACTGATTTGGCAGCATAGACAGTATTAATTGCTGGCTGAACTCACGAAATACTCCATCTAGCAATCCTACATGCTGTTCTCCCATTTTAAATATCTACAGATGAATTACTGACAATAATATATAGATTATAGAGTACCTCCCCTGATGAGTGGTAGCTTCAGTTGGTGAAGTTGTGTCAATGAAGCCAGTGGAGTAGGAGGCCTGTACTGGGCTAGTACTCTAGTTTTGCCCTGTGCATTTTTAGGCCAGTTCACCCTCCTATTTTCCTAGTTTCAGTACTACTTGTTCATCTATGTGCTCAATTCCAGTTTTTAACTTTAGCTCTTAACTCCCTCTTGATTAGCATGTCTTTATATTACCTCCATGAAAATGGAACCAAAGATGAATCCAATGCATTGCAGAAAAAAAAATATTTCAAATACATGGTCTGTTGGCAACTATCACAGCATCATTCAGAAAAATTTCACTGATCCACATGGGTGACTCCATATGAAGGCCTATCTGCAAGGTGAAGTAATGAGTCAGGCCAGTAACCTTAAAGGATTGAAACTTCAAGATGGCAACAGGATGACTCTGCTGCTGCTGCAGAGGGCTGAGTCCATCCTTGCCTTGTCTGATGTGTACTGTATATGCATCAGACAACAACATTTTTAAAACTGAGTCCTCCCTCCTCAAACTTGACACCAAGTGTTTTATCACATAGATGGTGTCAGTATGCATGTATCACATTCATGCGTAACATCTGGAGCTGGTAATTCTTTCCTAAGTGATACATTTCCTACATTTCTCCCTGCTATTGATGAATCACTACCTGGATAGAATTGGGTGATTTGGGTGATGATAATGCACTATCATTATCATAACCCGGATTGGACTGAGGATTCTGAAGAGCCAGAAGAATCATTGCATGAAATTCTGATAAGAGGCAGCTGTCGAATACTTACAGATAAATTCAAATAAATTTTTTCCTGGGCTCCCTGGAAAATCTTGACTGGATATATTTTTCATGATCATGGCCTTGCTGTATGACATGACACTTGTAATGAGGCTAAAGGAGGACCTTCTTTCCCAAGTGAACAATATTTTTCTTTCTTTTTGGAAAACAGTGGTTCCACAGATGCTATATTTTGTTCAGAGTCTAACAGAAGAGAGATTAGTGCCCTTGGTTCACAAGAAAAATGGTCACTGAGACAGGCAACGACACCTACATTCACATTATTCTCTCCCAAGGTCTGAGAATAAGAGAAAAAAGTAATTATAACAATAAAGTAATCAATTTAGGCTGAGATGGCAATTGATTTGGAAATTAATTGTGTAAATCACAGAGGGAATTTTTTAAAGTAGTAATTAAAGTGAGGAGATTCCCAAAATATAGGCTGAACATCACAATATATTCTCAATGAGTTTACTTCCTGTTGCACATTGGTAGTTATAACCTCCACATTGAAAAAAACACCATGTATGAACAAATTAGAGTGATGATTGTATTCTGGTAAGTCTATACTCAGGGTATTAAACTCTTGCAGGCTCTAGCCATCTCCTGCTGCATAAATGAATCACCAACTACCTTAATTTCCCATTTTCATTTCATATTTTGACCTAACTTCAATTTCCTAATTATCCCATAATGGGGGAATGGGGATTCTGTAACAAAAAATTTTGAACTCATGAAAAATGTTTACAGTGCTTGACCCTTTTAGTGCCAGCCAATTAGAATTTGCTATGAATTTCATTTAAAAATGTCTTAGTCAAAGAAATGGCATTGGCAGGGTTAGAGTGTTGTTATAAACACAATCAGCATTCTGGCAAAATACATTTCTTAATCTTTTTAGCTCTTTGACTCTACCACTTTTAAATTAAATTCATAGCATCAATCTAATGACTCTGGCACTATAAGGGCTAACCCGTCCAAAAATAGCCCCTTTTAATCAAAATCATATTGCAGTTCTCTCTCATAAATTGCAACCAATCTTATCATTACACTACTCACCATAATTCCATAAGGAACTACTAACAGCAACTATCCATTTTTTCAATTAAACATATGATCAGTATGAACATATAAACAGTTCTGATGAAATGATGCATGAGATGAGCAAACTTGCATACTTAAATGCTATTGAATAAAATTTGCTACAACCCTTTCTCACCTCAGTCATGACTATGATAATCTTGGGGCTTGACTCTTCCCTACCATCTGCCTGCTGACCTCAACCATTTCTCATGATCTGATCATTTTAATTTTTATACCATACATAAAAATTAACTAGTCTCTTTTGCAGACTTAACTTTTTTAGCATATTTCTCCTATTTCACCTAAAACTGGCAAAACCTTTTCACATCTATAGGCCTCCTAATCTTGGATTCCTTTTAAGAACTTCCCATATAAAATATCAGCTATCACTATAGCTCCTTGAATTCAAACCATTCCTCCTAATGGGAGATATTAATACCTTCTGATCCTCCCTATCCCAGCCTTGCCATTGAGAAAAACGCAATCCTCTCACTAACGTTTCACTATTCAATGGACCAATAATATTTAAAATCTTTACAACTCAAATCAGTTTCTTTTTGCACTAAGTACATTTAAGGATATCAGCACCTCCCAAGAGGTACCTCACAAAAGCAAATATTAAACTCCTGGTAGTAGACATCCCAAAATGTTTCATTGCTTTTCAATGCTTGCCCAGAAGTGTACATTTTTTACATATAATGAATAGGTTTCAGAAATCTGTCGTGCAAAAATGTTTGATCACCACTGACATCAATCTTTCACAGCATCATGCACTACAGCTTCACCTTTCTAAAGCTTACCAAGAGATAATTTCTGCAACTCAGAAAATTAATGAAAATCACATAAGGCAAGGTCAGGGCTGCTGGCAATAATTTCCTTTGTGGATGCAGCCATGTGAGGCCTAGCATTTTCAATCAATAAAATTACAATACCTTGTCTCACACATGCATAAGTACTAAGTCATATAAGTACTAAGTCATAGGTCACTTTGCATCGTCATCCTGTAGCATGACAATACTAGATCACACAACTAGCACACACAAAATTGTTGGGAAGTGTTGGGATTGGAATTACTGTTTCTTCTATGTCACTTTGTTCAAGTGATTTTCATCCATTCTCTGAACTACCAGAATCACTAAGAGGCAAGCATTGTGAAGATGAAAATAGGTGTGCATAATGGTATGACAAACTGGTGTCACCAACTATTAAAGTTTCCTCCAAGACAGATATCAAATGTTTCTTTCACCTTTCAGGAAAATGTTCAGGGGGATTATGCAGAAAAAAAAAGTTTGCATGTCTACTTCCAGTACTTAGTTAACATTCATTTATCTGTGAACTTTATGAAACCATTTAGTGCAAAAGGAACTCCAAGAAAATATGAGCTGTCGATACTTGTTTTATTTGTTGAATGACTATGGAGACATCAGAATGGGAGAGAGTAAGGTGCAACTACTATTTACTTCTTGTGGCACTGTGTACCGTGTGGAATGCACCCTGTGGAATGTCCAGGGCAACAACATTCTGATTTGAGCACTTTTTTGGCGAAAAAAAATGAGACTGGATGATCCCACTAACAGAAGAAACTCTAAAATGAAACCACCTAGATAAGAATCCTGAAACCGGTCCCGAATTCCGTTACCATTCTTGGCCCTTTCTCTCCTTTTTATTCTTTGATCTGGCAGGATTTCAGTGGCTTCGTTGTGTCGCGCCCATCGGAATAATTCGAGAAGTAAAAAAAAAAGGACTAAGACTAGGACTGGACCAATCAAAGCGATATCGTTTCCCATTCTCATACTGCCCCTCCCTGACTACTCCGAGAGGCACACAGGTTGCTCACAAACGGAAAAGCAACGTGATTGACAAAAATTAGACAATTTCAGCTTTCTTCAATGTATGCCGCTCCCCCGAATTATTAGGGCTACGTAGAGCAGCTCGATCAAGGAAAACCCGAGCTATAAGGCCTAAAGAAAACAGGAAGCATATTGCAGGTCTCACACTAACACCTCCCCCAACTGTGATGCGAGGCATAACAGAGAAGGAAAATGAGCATGCGTCGCCCTGTCAATTCCCATGAGATCGTTCCCCTTGACTTTTTCTCGGATATCCAATATGATCCTCCATGAGATACTCTCAAAGCCATGACCTGGTCAGTAAGCAAAACGGTTTATTTTCCATTTGTGGGTAAAATGCACGATTCAGAGCTGCACCCTCGGATTTTTTCTGTCGCATTTTCTATTTTGACCTAAGGAATTGAATCCTAATATCGTGAATCGATCCCCTCAAAACCCGTAAGAATCGCTCAGCCCTAAGGATAACCACTATAACATGTACGCCTGAAGGCATATGAAGTGGTTTTTCTTGAAAACGGTGTCTTCGCTGCTGTTCCGTGCCACGTATGAGTTGATGACGCGTAATGGAGTCTGTATTGACGAGAAGCTAATCACTGAAATGCAACAAAATCCGTTTTATGGCACTCGTAGATGCAGATGGGAGAATAGCCCATACCACTCCAGGTATTTTCTAGACGATTTTTGAAAGTGAGGAATGACCGGTAGGTGATGTCAAACCATCACCGAGACAACTACTGAAATTGAAGATGACTTCATATTTAGTGGCAGGTGCTGCACCCCTGAAGGAAATGAAGCTCTGTTGTCGTGCCAGGACACCATGAGTTTCAGAGACTACCACTGCCATATGTAAAAATCCTATAGGTCTCATTTGATCTGTGATCACTCTTGGCACCTGATCATGTGAATGCAGCATGGTGGGCGAAGAAAAAGAACTTAGTAAAATCCTAGAACCAAAACTACAATGCAATACTAGCGCGCCAATGTCACATGTCAAAGCGATCGCGTGATCACGATATCAGAAGTTGACAATGAGGTAATTTGTACACTGGCATTAAAGGCATAACTTTTGATATCAGGAGTTCTTCAAGATGTGTCTAATCCCTCAGTTCATCCGGTATTACAGACGGAATCATATTTTCAGTGCTGAAAGTTTTGACAAAGTTCCCTTGGAACCTCGTAGTGGGTAATCATTTTCTGTAACGCTGACATTCTCAAGTCCATCAGCGTCAGCAAGATTAATCTCGCGGCACATAATCCAGACATCAAATCTGAACGAATTCATCGTAGCCTCAAAAGGTAGAGATATGGGCCAGTAAAGAGGAAAGCTTCGCAGATGTGGGGTAAAACACCCAGTGATGGGCTACGTGGCAGGAAGATTCCAAAAACGTTGCATTTGGTGCATAAACACCTCTGAAGTGTGTATGTGCTTCAATGCTACTGGCTTATGCCACAACAGCGATAGACGTGCTATGGAAGACTAGCTGTTGGAATTTTTATGTGCTGTGGTTCATCACTGGGACTTTTACCCAACTCGCTGTTCCCTTTCGTCGTGGTTGCTACCTCTTATGTTCCTCATTCTTGCGGCATTCATGTGCCGTCTGGCTTGGGCAGCCTCGGGCGCTTCTTCCTGTCTAAATGCCTCCATGGGAGCTCTACTTTCCTCCCGTCGGATTTGAGTAGCCTGAGGGGTTTCCTGAAGTCACTGTGCCACCACGTGAGCTCCATTTGTTTCTTGTCAAACTGGTGCCCTTTCCTCACTTTCATCTCCTAGACGTCGCATCGCGGGCGACTGATCCGCTCTCCGCTTTCTCTCTCGTGACAACATAGCACTTTATGAAAAAAAAAAAACCTATTTACGAATAGCTTCAACAAATAAAAAATTTGATGCTTCCTTTTATTCTATTGTAAGGAGTGTTTCTAAAATTCAAGATGGCGTCGCACAGAAAATTTCATTTTGCAAAGGCACATCCTCGGATGATAAAAATGTATGTTTATAACCTTCAGTTCATTTCTCGACGCGTTTGGCCTGTACAGCTGTCACACACACACAAACACGTTTGTCGTTCGGCCGAGGTAGCGGCCAGGATAGCGTACGCCTTTTTAAAATCACGTTGAACTTTGCAGCCGTTATATGACGTCCTACGCCCATAGCGCATTCAAATTGCCAGGGCTCAGAGTGTTAACCGGGGGATTAAAAACATATCGGTTTGAAAAAACGATATGTCATTCACATATATTCTCGTTTCCTCCACCATGTTTTTAAATTTATCAATACTTTGAAAAATACCCATTCAAAAGCAAAGGCTTAACTCTTACCTGTCTATAATGAATAACTGCTGATAGTGCTGCACGATAAGTATTCTGTGCGCATTTCTTCACCACGAAGTTATTGCCAGCATTCGCAAAGGAGAAATGCAAGGTTTCGAGTTCCTATCCCTTTCTCACGGCTGATTCTTCATCAGTCTGAAAAAGGAATTAGGAGAAATTCCCACTGATTTTTTTTTTATACTCCCTTTTCTTGTGGTTATTTTTGGGGTGCGAGATGCTTTGCATACGACTGCAATCAATAACTGCACACAGTCGCAGTGAGGCTAAGCTCTTCGTAGTACCTGCGAATCGGGTCAGGGGCCAGTGGTGTGAAACGGCTCGATGACAAAGGTAATGCTGAGGCCAAGACAAATCCCTAATTCAGAACGTGAGGCTACCACGTTTGCCAATTAGGCCTAACGTGAATGATAACGTTCCCTGCGCAACTCGACCTGAAGCTGTAGATTAGATCAAATTGGAAGCCCTCATCTTTTCGAATGTTGTTCCTCAGCCGCGATTGAAATTACATAATTCCAAATTGAGAAGAGTCGTGACTCGAGTTACATGAACGATGCGTAAGCCGAAAAAACGGAAGCGCTGACTCTCGTGCCAGAAAATGCCTGGAAAACGATGTCGTAAAAGGAACTCACACTAGAAGTCTTCTGCGAGGGGGTCCCGAAAGTCTAACCGCTTTGGACTCCATGATACTGTGTAGTCATCAGGGCCGGATTAACCTATGGGCTAATAAGGCTATATCCTTAGGCCCTCATATTTTTTGGCCCTATTTTAGGCCCTCCATTCTATTTTTTTTTTTTGCAATATGTAATTCATACTTAGGCCCTTCCCTCCCATTAGCCTTAGGCCCCTCATAACCTTAATCCGGCCCTGGTAGTCACGCGAATCAACGAACGTGGCACCCGAATGCCGATGCCAAGAATGAATTCATGGAAAAACTCTTAACATGGTGGGAAGACGCAAGGATCTCTCCGTCGCCGAAGCAGCAAGCTGGTGATGGGTGAAAGGGAAGGAGATCGAGGCTCTACGTGGCCTCTGATCCGGGGTAGGCCTATTCCAAGGGCTCCTTCCTGACCTCCCGGAGGTAGAGGCTCCTAGTAGGCCGATGCATTCCGCCAGGGGCTGGATGGTGCTGGGTGCGCGTACTCTTAGCACATGCTCTCGCACTGATAGCCACGGCACGCCTATCCGTATATCTCCCGAGTATGCCAAACTACCTTCCGCGCACCTTCCACTCCAGTCGGCGGAGACAGTACAACTAGAGGCGACACCTGGAGAGGTGCGGAGGGGGAGGAGGTTGGGATCTTATCAATGCAGAGACATCTAGTGGTTTCAGGCAACAAAACTTTCGCTAGGTAGCGGAATCTGGATTCGACCCATTCAGGTATTCGATCAGTGGCTTACTCAAGCATATACCATTAAATTGAACCAGTGGCGGCTTGGGAGGCCCGGCCTCCTCAAAAATTCTCAGGAGACCCCATAAAATTGAAAGTATCCATTAGCATAGCAAATAACTGAAAAAAATCTCGTGGTATACAGAGGCGCGTTGCTCTATCAGCAGCAGTAGCTGCCACGATGCGACGCCGAGATTTTTACTCGATCATTAGAAGTAAGGAGAGCGCAGTTAACTGGCTCCATGAACAGGGCAATTTGCAAGATCAAGCTAACAAAATACATGGGACAATCAGTGGCGGCGCGTTAGGGTAAGCAGGGTAAGCAGTGCCTACCCAGTTTAAAATCAAGAGTTCTCAAACTATTATTTGCTAATTTATTCTTCGATTAACGCACCTGGAAACACTTCTTCCCTTGCAAAGTAAAAGCAGAATTCGATTATGTGTTCAGAGTAGGCACAGCGTTGTCAATCTACACTGGCTAGGCTCAAATCCCAACGAATCCAATGCAGGAACGAGAAGAGGGAGAGAGGGACGAGAACCTTGGTCCTGGAATGAGACAGGGTTGGCTTGCCTGCGGTTGCGTTGTAACTTCTTGCGCGGGAAGGTAAGGATGAGAATCGCTTGTTCACGCCCTCAGAAGCACTTGCTTGTTGAAGCCTCGATTGTTGTCACCAGTGGCGGCTCGGCAGGGTAGGCAGTGCTTACCCAGTTTAAAATCAGAGTTCTCAAATTAATATTTTTCCATTAGCACAGCTGAAA